TTGAAAATTTCCAAAGCAAAAAGTATTTGGTGAGAAGAGTGGCCTTGTTTTACATTTTTGCAAATCCCTGGCTTAACTGAAGGTAGATTCTCATGCCTGCGTCAGCGTTCAGTCCCGTGTGATGTTGCACATCATGTGACCCCTGGGAAACTACACTTGTGAGACAATGAACATGACAAAGATAAATCTGAATATCATGAAAACAGCTTTGACCTTGAAGATCCACTGATTGAGTAGATCCCTAGTCACACTTTGAGAACCACTAATCAGCCATTAGAGCTTGTAAAGGTACCCTTACCTCCACAACTCACGTCTCGCTTCACTTTTTTCACTGGAGAAGTGGAGCACATGGGCTTAACATGTTACTTGAATTCAGATGTTTCCTAAGTCTCTTAAGTCCTTTCTTTTTCCTTTTGTTTTCTCTTTTGCTGGGAAACTGTTTCCAGGACCCATCAGCTCCAAGTCAAACAGTGGTTTCAATCTAGTTGTGGAGGGTGCACCTCAGTGGCCCATGCGGAGATCAAACCAGCAACCTTGGTGTTACGAGCACTGCGCTCTAACCAACTGAGTTAATCAGCTGCCCCTTGGATTGCTTTTCAAACCACTGGACTGGTTATTCTGTGTATTAACAGAACAGTTGCCAGAGAATGAAAAATGATGCACGTTCTTTCATACAAAGGTGCTAAGAGGAGGGGTGTCAGGATTGAAAAGGACAAAGTTCCAATGGCCAAGTAACCTGTTGAAGAAATCCATACTTGGATGAAAGCGTAGGCATCCCAGGTTTGTGGGAATGAGTTGTAAGTACGTCTCAGTCAAAATCTTCCTCAGAACTTGAATCTTGTAGCTAAAAGCTACTCTGCTCAAACCCACTTGGGCCAACTTTAATATGGGTCCCTCATTGGGACATTTGACCTCTTGTGAGGGTGACTTACTGAGCCAATTTTTCTCTGATGCATCCTTGAAAACGGATTCAGATTGTGGATTGGGGAATTTTTACTCATGTTTTCAAGAGTAGCATCCTGACATGCCTTGAACAATGATTCATTGAATGATTCATTGAACATTCACCCTTTTATCCAATGCATGTATCAGGTGCCTACAGACATGCTGTACTAGGTGCTGGGAATAGAGAACAATAGGCGAACAATATCCTTGTCCTCAGAGAAAGTGCTATGGAGAGAGGGATTAGGAGATAGCAAGGGCTGGGGCAGGGGAGGGGCTGCTATTTTGAGGGGGTGGTCAGAGCAACTTCTGTGGTAAGGTGGCATTTGAGCCGAGACCTGAAGAAAGTAAGGGAGCGAGCCATGTGGGTATTTGGGGGAAAACCATTCCTAGCAGGAGGAACAGCAAGGATATTTGTGTCTTGAAGAAGCTGAGGTCACAGAAGCAGAGGCCAGGGGCAGATTATGGAGGGCTTTGTAGGCTATTTTAAAGGCTCCGACTACAGAGGAGATAGGGAATGATTTGGAGGGGCGGGTGTTTGGAGGAGAGGAGGGACATGAAAACAGACTTGACCCTTAAAAGAGCGCTGGCTGCTGTGTGTGGACTAAGAGAAGGGGAGAAGCAGAGGGGGTTAGCAAGGAGGGCAGTTAGGAGGCGATTGCAGTGGTTTCTAGTGGCTTGGACACATGGCAGTGCGGGAAAGAAGATGTATTCTGAAATTATTTTGAAGGTCGAGCTGAAGGGATTTGCCGATGGGTGTAGGGTGTGAGAGAAAGAATGGAACCGAGGATGACCACAGGCTTTAATAAGTTAGGAGTTGGCTTGGAGGAGCAGATCTGAGAGGAGGAATTGAGAGTTTGGTTTTGATCTTGTCAAGCCTGAGATGCTTACAACGTATCACGTAGAGATGTTGACTTGGCATTTGAAAACATGACCGAAGACCAGGAGAGAGGTTATGGGCTGGAGATACAGATTCAGGAGCCATCAGTAGACGGATATTTAAACGATGAGACTGAGGGAGGTCACCTAGGAAACGAATGGAGGGGAAGAATCTGTCCAAGGACCAAGCTCTGGGACATTCCCAAGGAATAGAGGACAGGAGGATGAGAAGGAAACAGCAAAAGACAGGAGAGGAGCAGCCAGTGAGGCAGGAGCAGAACCAAGAGAGGACTCCAAGAAGTCACGTGAAGAAGCGTTTCAAGAAAGGGGTTGTCAGTTGACAAATAACTGCAGAACAGATGAGGGGCACGCACTATGTGCAGGCACTGGGCATACAAAGATGAGCTAGCACGCCTGGTAGGACTAGGTGTTCATAAATTGCTTTGGAATGAAGATAACCCTTGGTTCAAACAACTCCTAACTTGGGAGAGGAGCCAGCATGTGGGACGGCACCTAACCAGCAAGACACCTTGTCTGGGGAGGTGAAGCTTCTTCAGCTGAGTCTTCAATGCTGAGGGGAACTCAAGTGGATTTCCCTGTGCAGTGCACTGTGTACTGGATTTTCATTCCCTTCCCTCCAGGCTCCTTAGGAAGCATGAGAAGTTGCGATGAAGCAGGAAGCAACTGACTGCCCCATCTCACCAAAGAACCATGGAACAGGAAAAAACCTGGGAAAAGGAGCGAATGGGATAGACACCTTTAAAAACAGTTTAAAATTCATTCCAAGTTTAGTAAATTTCATTTTGTGGGAACTGGCTTTCCTAAGGAAAATCTGTTGTAATGCGCAGATGGTCACAAGAGGTCTCCCTTTCCTTGAAACACACTGGTTTAAAGGGCGGGGCCAAAAAGTGATGACGGGTCAGAAAGCTCAACACCGGGCAGGTAAGGCCAGCAGCAAATTTGGCGACGAAGTTACTTAAACTTTTAAGAAATAAAAACGTCCCTTTAGCAATAGCAATAGCATAGTTTATCAGTTTAAAAATGAAAAAAACCACAAGGTAATGTTGAATAAACACGTACTGGGAAGGGTAAGAAGTGCTTAAGTGTCAAGGTACTTAATATTTAGAGGGTTGATTCTCTCTTCCCTCTTTGGTGACTATTTTACTAAGTATGATAGTTTGAAAAGCAACTTACCATGTGAGGATAATATTAATAATAGCTAACCTTGATTAGGCGTTTAGCATGTTCTAAGCCTTTTTACAATATCAACTCATGTAATCCTCACCCCACCATATAAGGTAGATACTGTTATCCTTAATACTAATAATCCTTTGAGAGTTTAAAGACGAGGAATTTGTGGCTTAGAGAAATTCACAATTGGTCCAAGGTCACATAGATGGTGAGGGGGCAGAGCTGGGATTTGAACACATACCTACCTCCACTACTATTTACCCTGTATAGACTATGGTAAATAAGTAGATTCTTGAATATGGAAATGTTCTTAAGAAACAGTTTCTTAATTTGAAAACATACAATGTGGTTCTTCACCAAGAATGAGAGTCAGATCCATCTGAGGAGCTTTTTAAAAGAATGCAACTAATTGCTTCAGCCTTCCCCCAGGACAATAGAATTCAGTAGATTAGAGGTGGAGTTGGGGGTGGGGTCTGGAATCCGTTTGTGATTTTAAGTCCTACAGGTGATTCTTATGTGTATCTGCCCTTGGTACGGAGCTGCACAGATGAACGGTGGCTAAATTTATGTAGGCGGAACAGCTCATTAGGACACAGCAGCCACCCAGACTTAGAACAGGATTATGGTGATTTGCTCGGCATTTAACTACAAAGGGTATTTGAACTTGGGCAACTCAAACTCCTCTGGCTTCCAGTTTGAGATACTGTCTTCCTCTCCCCTTGAGAGCAGAGCTGGAAAGAAACGTGTGATTTGCCGAAGACCTGGGTGAGAAAGGGCAAAAGCAGAACTCACTGGGGGGCAGCCTTTTGGTGTTCTTAGCAGTGAACTGTGAAAGCCAGCTGTCAGTCAACCTGGCTGGGTGGTGAGACAAAACCCAGATGATGCTGTCTTTATCTACTGCTATTGGCTGCCTGTCAGCTTGGCACACAGCCAGTGAGAGTGAGCTCAGAGATGGGGTGTTTCTACTTGGGGGTGAAACGCGGACACAGAAGAGGCTCTTTAAGGCAGAGGGCTGTAAATGATGAAGGAACCAAGTTTAAGGACTGCGAATCCGCAGGGCGGAAGGGAGAGAACATTTTCTCTCCATTTCTGAAATGAATGAAACTTCTGCAGTGACTTTAAGCAGCCTAAGTCATCATGGGGATTTGGGTCAGATAATAGTCTACTATTCATAAGGGTCTCCTGCTTTTTTTTTTTTTTTGGTGATTTCTATTCTTTCTATTCTCTCCTCTCATATTACACACACACACACACACACACACACACACACACACACTTCCTATTCTTGGTGGCTCCAACCTTTCCTGGAATTACTCTATGCTCCTGTGAACCCTAGGTTCAACTGGAATTTCTAGTCCTTAGCCCTGGCCACAGCTTCGTGTCATGGAGATGGATTTGTCCCATTCACTGGAGTTTGGTAGGAACCTGAGCGCTGGGAATCCACCCAGACCCTTCACTCCTGACGCTGCCTCAGGAACTTTGTGAAGTCTGGCCTTACAGAATCGCAGGACACCAGAGCGAAAGAGAGCTTGGAAGAATTAGGGAAAAAAAACCCACAAAAATCATGATCCTTGAGTATTTCTGAGATGAACTCATGAGAACGCAACAGGAAACCCTGTGTCCCAGAGATAGAGGACAGAGTCCTCGTCCTTCAGAGGACACATTTACCCTTCAGAGGACGCAGAGATGGAGTGGTTGGCGCCTTTTGCACTAGGGTCTTCCCAGGGTTTTCCCAGGGTTCCTGGGTGGAGGGAATTTGGGGTTATGCTTGAGCACTGGACTCAGATTTGCTCTGTCTTCCAGACCCTGTTTCCAGAACCTCACCTCTCTTCCTGAGATCCCTCCAGTGCTTTCAAAAGCATATGTGAAACCAAGCCCGTTCCTTTCTCTTTAGGTCACCAGATTCCTTTTTGGGGTTGGCAGTGGTGCCACAGCCCCAGGACCTGTGAGGGCATGTGGGCAGTGGTGGGGCTGAGATTTGCTCTGGGGGGTTTTAAGTGTGCCAGGACTGGGTGTTCCGCTAGTCCTCCCTCCCCCTCCCTTCCCAATTCCTCTGCCCCCTCCCTTCAGGCAGACTCAGGGGACCCTGAAGGTGGAAGAGAACTCTTACCCAGGGCAAGAAAAGCCACAAGAATGCCCCAGCTGCCTACACTTGGTTCTCAGCTTCCCTTCCTCATCCCTCCAGCCACTCCCAGGGTCTGAAGCACTAGCCCAGTTTGAAACACCCCTCCCACTTTGAAGGAGGCTGGGCTGGCCAGGGGGTTATTTTGGGAGCAGCTTCTGAGATCCAATGGCCTTGTTAGGGCAACACTGACCTTTCTGTCCTGGGAGGAGGGCAGGATTGGAGAGGGGCGGGGCAGCAGGGAGATCGACAGCCCTGCACACCCACGGTGGAGGAGAAGGGGGCCAGCGGGCTGCAGGAATTCAGCCTGGGGTGGGGGTGAGGGGGGCGGCTGGGACTGTCACCGAGGAGACTTTCCCCTCTTTGAAACAGACTGGGGACCTTTCCACCCCACCCCTTCACTGTGCTTCTTAAAGGGATCACAGCATTTTTCCTTTGACTCCATGGAAGGCAGACTTGGGACGCTCTGTGGAGACTTTGAATCTTGCCTTCCCGCGTCCTTCCCAGCTGGCAGCCTTCCTCTGGCTGACTGAGTGGGGGCCTCCCAGGCATGGCACTGACCAGCAGACCCAGTGCTGACTTGGCTCCTGGGCTTGGTCAGCCTCTGGTGGCATCTTGTTTTCCCCCTGCTGGGGTGCGGCCGTGGTGAGTGGGGGGCCCAGTCCTGAGAAAGCTTGGGGAGTGTCACTGGCACCCTCACTGCCCTCTTCCCCCAAGCTGGAGGACAGTGAGCTTGTCAGGGGTGATGATGAGATGAGCGGGGGCCGCTTTGACTTTGATGATGGCGGGGCGTACTGTGGGGGCTGGGAGAACGGAAAGGCTCATGGGCACGGATTGTGCACCGGCCCCAAGGGCCAGGGTGAATACTCAGGCTCCTGGAACTTTGGCTTTGAAGTGGCAGGCGTCTACACCTGGCCCAGCGGAAACACCTTCGAGGGATACTGGAGCCAGGGCAAACGGCATGGGCTGGGCATAGAAACCAAGGGACGCTGGCTCTACAAGGGCGAGTGGACACACGGCTTCAAGGGACGCTATGGAACCCGGCAGAGCAGCAGCAGCGGTGCCAAGTATGAGGGCACCTGGAACAATGGCCTGCAGGACGGCTATGGCACTGAGACCTATGCAGATGGAGGTGAGCCTAGCCTGGGGCCTGCAGAGCGGGGGAAGGGGCCGGACGGGTGAGGAACACGGGTGGAGGGTGGGAGGAGCGAGGGGCCGGAGGGCGCAGAATCGGAGGGGCCAGGATGTTATTTGCTGTGTGGCTACAGGCAAGCTGCTTTATGTCTCTCAGTATCCATTTCCTTATTAGCAAAGGTGGAGCCAATAACGGGGCTGTTGAGAAGATTGGCAGGAGTGCTCAGGACAAGGCCTGCCATAAAAATACTCACTCGACACACATTCAGTAAGACGTAAGGGCTACTGTTTGCATGCTAGTTATACGATCGGCCGTGGGATAGACTGTAGCTTGTACTCTAGAAGAATTGGGGTCTAGGCTCAAGTTTGCCATGAACAGTATTTTCAAGCAATAGCTTACGAAGTATTCATCCATCCATTCATCCAGGCATCCATGCAGCCTTTTGTTCAGTGCATATTTCTGTGGAACCTCCTCTTTGCCAGGCATTGTAAAAGGGTTAGACATAAAGAGGAATAAGATACAAGCTATGGCATAAGATAGGCTTGTAGACAACCTCTTCTACACAAGTATGTACAGAGTGCTGTGGCAGAAGAGAGAAGAATGCTTTAGAAGAGGTGACATCTGAGCTGGATCTTGATGGGAAAATTGCATTTGTGAGGGTGGGGGTGGGAGAGAGAAAGGAAGAAAACGCTCAGAAGCATGAGAGGACTCAGTGGGTGAAGGAACCAGAGAGGGATTTTCTGTGGCGAAATAGCCCTGGGAAGTGACAGGGCAGACAGATATCACCTCGTCCACTGGGTGTAACTTTGGACAGATCAGTTATCTGAGCCTTAGTTTCCTCACCCATAAAATGCGGGTGTTTTAGAATATCAGCACTTCTCAAAATGTGGTTAGGGCACAGGCAGCATCATGTGTCTGCCAGTTAGAAATGTGAATTCAGGAGTTCCCCCTCAACTTTCTAAATCAGAATCCTTGAGGGTTGGCCCAGACCCTGTTTTAAACTTGTCCAGCAATTGTTATGCATGTTTAAGTTTAAGAAGTATCGCTTTCATTAAAAAGAAGAAGAAATATTGCTTTAAATGAGGGGCTTGAAAACTATAGGCAGCAGGCCAAACTAGCTTGCTGCCTGTTTTTATTCCACTTGTGAGCTGAAAGTGGTTTTACATTTTGAAATGTTTAGGCAGAAAAAAAAAAATCAAAAGAAGAACACTGTTTTGCAACACGTGAAAATTACATGAAAGCCCCTGCATAACATCCTCAATTGTGCCTCTTGACCCCGCAAAACCTAAAATATTTGCTGTTTGACTCTACAGGAAAAGTTTGCTGGCTTCTGCTTTAAATGTTCATTCAGTTTCCTTCCAACTCAGGATAATCCCATGAGGTCTCCCTCACATGCCCCATTGGGAAGAGGCACTGACGCAGATAACTCAGACCTATGGCTAATTAAAAAACTACATGTTTGGCATCAGAGTGTGTTGGTAGTATATTATATTTGTCACTAGTCTGCCCTCTTTATGGCAGAGGGCAGGAAGTGGGCAGCCTGGGGTGGGCTGGCTGGGGCAGGAAAGAGCCTAGTTAGCCCAGGGTGGAAGGTGTGCTCAAGCTGTGGCGTTTGGGCATGTGGAGAGCAGCCTCCGGTGCAGGATAGGTTCCTGACTAGGTTGCCAATTGGTGGGTGTCTTGCGAGGGCTCGCCCTCGAATGTGCCTAGATGTTGATAAGGTGGTATCTCTGGGGTTTTGGTGGGTGCAGTGGTAGCGACACTATGCTAGCTGGAACTGGACAGCACAGAGGACAGATTCTGGCACCTCACTTCCTAATTCGGTGACCTTGAGCTGTTTGTTGAACCTCTGGAATTCAATTCCCCAGATGTTTTTGCCCTACACTGCGCTAAGCCCTGGGCACAAGCAGAGAGCGAGCCTCAGTTTCTCCCGCTATAAGATGGAGATAATCTTGAGTGCAGGCCGGACGCCTGTTACCTGTACACAGGACACTTGAACCAAATGTTCCTTTTCCCTCTTCCGTCTTTGCAAACCACGGCGTGTGTATGTTGGGGCCTGGTGGTGAGGCACAGGGACACGCATTTCTGGGAAACTATGGGCTGATCTCCCAATATGTCTAAAAGGGGGGAAACCCATTCATTCATTCACTCACACGACCAATATTATGGAGCACTAACTATGGGTCAGGTACCATCCCACAGTGAGTTCCAGGGGCCGGGGCAGTGTGCAGCCAAGTCCTCAGGGAGTTCCCTGTCTCATGAAGAAGACAGAAATAAACTGGAAAACAAAGCTCAATGTCATTTCCAGATGTTTTGAGTCTTATGAAAAAAAAATAGCAGAGAAGGAAGAGGGTGATGTTTTTGGATAGGGTGTTCTGAGAAGCAGGGTGGAGAGGGTGGGAGAGGGAGGGAAGATTTCCTTCTGAGGGTAAAAGGGATTGAATCTATGGTGATGGAAGGAGAACTGACTCTGGGTGGTGAACACACAATGTGATACACAGATGATGTATTACAGAATTGTACACCTGAAACCTATGTAACTTGACTAACAATTGTCACCCCAATAAACTTTAATTAAAAAAAAAAGAAAAGAAAAGAAAAAGACTTCCTTCCAATCAGAGGGCATGGCAATTGCAAAGGCCCTGAGGCAGGATGCCAGGGTGTTGGGAACAGAGTGACTGAAGGGAAAAGGCCGGCCATGGCGCTGGAGTTGTGAGCACGGGCCAAGGCGTTGCAGGGCCCCGGGTTTTATCCTAGGTGTGCCCAGGTAACTGGAAGACCTGCTCCTCTGGTTTCCAGAGGCCCAGACTCTTCTCCTGAATGAAATAACCCCACCTCCAGGCGACCTGGAAGCCTCACAGGTCCTCTCTCCCAAGCCACACACGAGGTGCAGCTCTCCAAAATTAGATATGGCCACTGCTTTGGAAAATCTCTTTAATCAACCTGTCATCAGTTCCCCGAGGGTTTGTTAAGGACCTGCCCTTTGCCCCATCCTGGGTAGCACGGAGGGGAATGTGGACAAATAAGATCCTGTGATTAGGAGCAGTTGGGAGTCGGGCAGCCCTGGGTCATTACACATCCTGCCCCTACCATCTTATTTAATCTCTCAGAGCCTTAGTTTCCTCATCTAGAAAATGGATGTATCCTAACCTCTCCTAAGATTTCTCGTGGAATAAACAGGTAGCACAGTTGCTATCATTACTACAAATAATCATTAATTCATTCAATAGATATTGAGTGATTATTACGAAGCCAGCACAACCTATAGCACACGGAGTGGTGGTGGTAGGGGCAGAGTGTAGACATGAACAGAACGGAAAACGTCCCCGCTTTCCAGAGCGTCTGACATGAAATTGTACTATAGTGTGTTGGGTGCCAGGCAGCGGAGTGCTGCCAGGGAGGAAGGGAGTGAGAGGTGGGCAGCTAAGCAGACGTAGGCACTCAGGGAGAAATAAGTGGCAAGCCAGGCTCTGAAGTAAGAAATGAGCCAGGTGACAAGGGCGGGACGAGTGCTCCAGGTGGGGAGAACGGAGACTTGCCGCCCAGCCGGAGACCAATCCGAAATTTGCATCTTATCCCCGTTTTTGAAAAGTAGTGAACCAAGGACAACATGTCTAATTTCCTCCCTTCCCCACCTTACCTCGCAGTCACACCCTACAGGCGATTGCCTGCTCTAAACCAAAAGAAAACAGCAGTTTTTCAAACTGGAGGTGGCGACCCATTAATAAAGTGGTGAAATCAACTTAGTGGGCCGTGACCTGCATTTTTTTAAAAAATGAAAGAATAGAATAGAATAATAGCATTGGAATTGAAGTTGTCAGAGTGTTTCATAGAGAATGCGATATCGTTCCCTGAGACGTTTGTGCGGTTGGAGATGTATGCATATACGTATAGTGCATGCGTATAAAAACATCTGTGTTTGTGTGTGTGTCATGATGTCAAGTGTATTTCTTACTGTAGGTCATGGTCAAGAAAGTTTGAAAATCACTGTTTTAAAGTCTCTTGACCTGTCATCTTCATTGAAGCCCCTGCATTCCCACCTCCACAGACCCTCCGTCTCCTCCATGCTTGTCGCTTCGGCTGGAGGTTAAGCTCTCCAACTCTTTTGTGGGAAGGGGAAGGTGGCACAGGCCAAGGAGCTCGGGCCTCCCAAACCCTTCTAAAAGCCTCTTGGCACCCAACCCCTGCCTATAGCCATCATTCTTCCTCTGGCCATATATAGCCAAGCTAAAAATAGCTGCTGATTTAAAACTCCAAAGCAGGCGGACACAGGGCCCTACGTAGTAATAATGTGCTGTGTGGCTGACGGGCTGTTCCCACCCCAGAGACCCACAGACTCCGGGACTACAAGGGCCATTAGCGATTGTTGCTTTGCTTCCTGAGTTGCCTGACCTGAAGCTACAGGCAAGGTGTGTGCCTATGTGCATGGAATATCCGTGTTTTTCTGGGAGGTGTTTCCTCAGAGAGCCAGCAGACTCTCAACGTAACTGGTGCTCAAACAAGTTCCCCAACCATTGATCTAGTACAGTAATCCCCTCCCCAAAATGTGCAGTGGAAAAACTAGGCCCAAGGTTTTCTTTTTTTTCCCCCTAAGGCTAATCATAATAATAGTTAACGTTTTGGGAGTATGTAGTATGTGCCAGGCGTTGTTCTTGGCACATGGCACATGTGTTATTTAAATTTTCACAACAACCTCATGGGGAAGCACTGCTATTTTATAGAGAGAAAACTGAGACCCTTGTGGAGATCATTGAAGTATTTTCACTCACAGTTCTCTAGCTAATAAGAGGCAGAGATAGAACTTGATAATAATAAGTGATAACCATATATTTCATATTATAAGTATTTTAATCAGTGACAACTATACAAAATAGGACTGGCTACATAATTTGTGGCACCCAGTGAAAAATGAAAATTCAGGGCCCCTCCTTCAAAGTCATTAAGAATTTTGAGATGGTGACAGCACAGCATGAAATCCAGTGCGATGCCTTTCTAAG